TAGACAGGAACGACAATATCCCAGAATTCGCTAAGAGTCTGTATGAAGTCCACGTACCAGAAAATTGTGAAGTTTGAATCAACAGTTGCTTGAGTTCAAGCATTCGATGAAGATGTTGTAAACCAAGGTTATTATTTGCTTTTGTAGAATTGTTAATGAATTTTAGTGTGATTTCAGTAATCATTATAGCTTCTTAGAATTTGCTATTATAATATTTTTCCTGATTTTCCCAGCAGACATTTGGAAAAGCTCACGAAACCTCATTTGATATCTTGGATGGAAATATAATTCTTGAAACTTATTTTATGCACATAAGATCTTTCTCAGGAAAGTGCTTATTATACACATTTTATAATGGAAATAGGTATAGATCTCATATTTCTGTCCATATGGAAATGCATTTCGTTATTTTATTCATGTGTTCAAATCATATCAGAACTACTTTCTATAGAGCTTGTACTTATTTTGCTTTTGAAGAATCGTTATTGAATTTTAGTGTGATTTCAGAAATCATTATAGCCTCTTAGAATTTGCTATTATAATATTTTTCCTGATTTTCCCACCAGACATTTGGAAAAGCTCACGAAACCTCATTTGATATCTTGGATGGAAATATAATTCTTGAAACTTATTTTATGCACATAAGATCTTTCTCAGCAAAGTGCTTATTATACACATTTTATAATGGAAATAAGTATAGATCTCATTATTTCTGTCCATATGGAAATGCATTTCGTTATTTTATTCATGAGTACAAATCATATCAGAACTATAGAGCTTGTACTTGTTCATCATAACCATGTTTCGTTATAGTACACAACCTTTCGAAACATAACTTAAGCAAAATTCCTATGTTTATATTTTTGTGAAGTGTTTAACAAAATCTCGAAGTGAAGTGGAAAATAAACGCCTATTGGGAAAATACATTCACTCTAATTATTTGGTCTACCACAAATTCAAACTACCTCTGTAATTCTGGGACCTCTTCCAGAAACCTTTTTTCCCACGAAAAACAAACAAACAAAAAAACAATCATTCAAAATAATGTCATTTCAAAAAAATCTATTGACAGTTGACATCTCGTATTTTGATTGACTATTGATTAAATGGCCGTCATCTGGTATGCTTGCTCACTAAAAAGGAAAAACCCGCCATGAAAATCATATTTGCTGTTGAATTTTCTATATTAAAATGTGCCATTCAAGTACATCATGAGTATATGAAGTGTCCAATGACAAAATAAGAAGAGCAAGTAGTTGTGAATGCCCCCAACACAAAGGGAGAAAGAAGGTGAAATTTCGAATATTTTCTTGAAATATATCTCGATAAATAGTGGTTTGTTCACATTTTCATTATCGAATTCGTGTTTTTCAGACAAAAATACGTAGGTACCAGAATAAAATTCCGAAAAAAAAACATCGCATGATAAATGCAGTTTTACCCTTAAAAATTATACTGTTTCAAGTCTAACGATCAATTGGGTAAAAAATCCAACAGGAAATTGAAAACACTCACTGGCTAATTTTTTAGGTAATAGGAATTCTCAAAGATCAATTTCGGTAATTATAACAAACGGCATGTCTATCAAAATAAAATACATTTTCCACCATTTTCTTTCGATTAATCTCACGATAAGATATGTTCTGCGGGCCCTGTATTAGTTTATTAGTAGGTGTGAAGTTTACCGTCACCACAATTCTCGTCAATATATTTAATTCGAATGGGTTGCTGTAGGTGGGTATTTGTGTTTTATTCTGGTTTTTGCTTCGAAACTTCGTTTTTCCATAATAAAATCGAATGGGAAGCGAAGAAAAGGGCTCAGTTGACGACTGACATCCTTTTTTAACCGGAAGCCCTTTAAAAAACCAGCAAAATCGGCTCAATAATGATCTAAAACTAAAATTGAACTACGCGGTTGCCTTAAAGCGCCATAAGCGCTTGTCGTTTCGAGCCGCTGGTTAGGCCTCACTAAGGTGACGTCACCACGGAAGCATACAGGCCTTATAATCTCGATGGAAACGTACCGTCCCAATATATGTGCTACTTGGGGTATTCTGCTCTAGTCGCGAGGTTATGATATTCTCGAAGTACTGAAGTATCCAATAACACTTAGACCTGATGCCGCTAATGGCCCATTATTATGTGAGCCATAGCTAGAAATTGCACCTTTTTCAAATTGTCTTAACGCCTTTACAAGGAGAAAAAGTGCCTGAAGAATGGAACAGTTATTATCTTTTCGTAATCCCATACTGTTATTTTGATTAAAAGATATTCAGATAACAATTGACAAGTTAGTTAACTGATCCATAACAACAAGATGTTTTTCTGTAGAATTACGATGTACGTGGTTTGTTCTTTCCTCAGAATCAAGATAACAGGGTGTCCCAGAATACGTTCGTATATTCCTGAAGGTCGATCTACAGATAAAAATAAGAAAACATGTTCCTATCAACAGGTGTCCGAAAATGCTTCCTAAGGGCGCTACAGCACTTTGAAGGTTGGTCCCTAAATGCAGATTTCTTCAATTATCTTTGTTACCATTGATCCTAAAATCATGAAATTGTACCAATAGGTAATTTGATCTCAGAAATTGTTAAAAGGAATGGAAAAAATGATATATAATATACAGGGAGGTTCGAAACTTGTAACCCGTGCTATAAAAATGTCCCAATTTTTTTGTATCACACTGTATCTTCTTGCTAGTATCAGAATATGATTTTCCAAACACTTCTTCATGAAAAAGGTACTGGAATGCCGTAAAACGAACCGTTCTCAAGAAAACTGTAATTTTCATTATGATGTGCTAAAAAGAATTCACTTGCTGAATGAGTTTGTCAAATTTCGACAATTTTTGTTTCGGATAACTACTCTGTTACCAGACCAAATCGTGAACTGAGCAGGAATAGGCTATGGAATTGCACACATTTAATTTCGAAGTACCTTGGCGATTGAAAAAACCAAGTAGGCTTGCTTCAGTTAGGCACACATGTCAAAAGTTTAAATATCACTAATTAGATACTTATTGCACTAAGTTATTTTCAGATTAGCACCTCAAAATGGAAGCATACACTTTTGCGGAAATGGCTGATATGCATTTATTTTATGACAAAGCCAATGGTAATGCACGTGAAGCGCGAATACTCTACCAAGAATTGGAAATGATGACAATTCCTTGCGAAAAAACTTTCATCAATCTGCACCAACGTCTCTGTGAAAAAAGATCTTTCAAACCGGAAAAAAGAAACTGTGATCAACATCGCACTACTCGGAGTTCTGAAACGGAGGAGCGAGTATTTGATTTGATTGCAGGAGACTCAGGAATTAGTGTAAGGAGAATTTCTACCCAAGGAGGTATCTCAAGAAGTTCAGTTCCTATGGAGAATTATTCATGAACAATTACTCTACCCTTACCATGTGCAGAGAGTTCAAGCTCTCAAACCTCAAGATCTAGCGCCCAGGTTACAATACTGCAATTGGTTGTGTGATAGCTAGTTGTCTTCAAAATCCAACTTTTCTGGAGAGTATCTTTCTTACCGATGAGGCAGGGTTCACCAGAGATGGAGTGTTCAATTTTCACAATACTCATATTTGGGCTGACGAGAACCCACACACAGTTTTTGAATCAAATCACCAAGAAAAATTTTCCATCAATGGAATAATCGATAAATATCGTACTGCCTAATCGTTTAAATGGTGAGAGTTATTTACAGTTTTTATATGTTCTGAGTGATCTCATGGATGATGTACCATATTCACTGAGGTCTGAGATGTGGTTTATGCACGATGGGGCACCGCCACATTTTTGTCCGCAGTCAGAGACAAATTTGAATTGAATATATGAATAATAATTATCCGGAGAGATGGATTGGACGTGGAGGACCTGTGTCTTAGCCTTCTCGTTCTTCAGACCTGAATACCCTCGACTTTTTTTTATTGGGTTATTCGAAATCTTTGGTATATGAAGTTCCTGTCGAGAACGTTGCGGAACTCAAGCAGCGTGTGAGGAATGCTTGCGATTTGATACGAAATAAGCCTGGTATTTTCCAAAGAGTGAGGGATATAATATGAGGAAACGAGCAAGAATCTGCATTGAAATGAATGGAGGACACTTTCCACATCTATTATAAAATCAATTATTTTGGTCGTTTGTTCTTATGATCGAAAAAGTGGAGTTTATTGATAATTGAAATGTTCTATTCCAGTTAGTTTTGGTTTGATATAAATGTGATCTTGATTTGTTGAGAAAAAATCTGCAACAAAATTGTTGAAATTTGACAGACTTATTAATTCCTGACGTGAATTCTTTCGGATATCAAGAAGATAAATAACAGTTTTCTTGAGAACGGTTCGTTTTATGGCATTCCAACAAGAGTACCTTCTTCATGAAGAAGTCTGGAAAATCATATTCTGGTACTAAGCAAGAAGATACAGTGTGAGACAAAAACAATTGGGACATTTTTATAGTACGGGTTAAAAGTTTCGCACCTCCCTGTATATTATATCATTTTTTCCATTCCTTCAAACGATTTATGAGATAAAATTACCTATCGATACAAAATTTCATGATTCTAGGATCAAAGTAACAAAGATAATTGAAGAAAACTGCATTTAGGGACCAACCTTAAAAGGGCTGTAGCGCCCTTAGGAATCATTTTCGGACACCTATTGATAGAAACATTATTCCTTATTTTTATCTGTAGATCGACCTTCCGGAGTATAAGAACGTTATTCTGGGACACCCTGTAATCTTACATCGGGATTACGAAAAGTCTTGAAATACACCACGAACGATGTTATTTAAACGGCGAAAAACTGAACTTGTTTATAACTCGAAAACAAGAGGCGATATCAAATTGTTGTTTCCGCCAGTGAATTTGTCTAAGAAAAAAGGAGAGCCGATCGAGTTATCCCATACAAACATCGGAAACTGCCTACCCTGTACATTTTTGAAGGCCATCAGTGGAATAGGGGAAAGGAGAGATGGAATAAAGCTACGAATTGCACAAACATGTAAAAAAGTTTCAATATATTTTCTCTAGACGAAAATAAAAATCACAACAAAGAATGACCATCAGCAACTACCCTAGCAGCCGCAACTATTCGTAATCAATATAACAAAATAATAAGTATAAATATTTAACTGATTAAATACGATGTCAGCCTCGAGGGCTTGCGAGGATTAAAAATAAATTAGTCTTGCCTCCGAGGGGGTCTGTTCCATAGGACAATATGGACATTTCAACCTGGAACAATGGAAATTCAGATTATCTAGTAAAACTATTCCACTGCAAGATGATATTGAAAAAACAACCGTTTAATCAAAAACTATCCTGGTGAATGATAGTCTTCGAAAATGAAAACAGCCACAATAACTAATCACACTTTACTTTTTTCCACTAACCAAGACCTATTTTTTAACTCCTCGCCACGTGTTTCACTAACTAACTCAGCATTTTCAGGAGAAGATTAGAACTGAATATTCTATTCGCGAAAATCACGAACCAATAGATGGCTCTATTAAACGTCAAATCAACGTCAAATTTCAAACTGAGTATGAACAACAAAAACATTGCCGTATGCACTCATTGCGAATTGGTTATTTTGAAATCATTTTGCAAAATAGTGAATAATAAGTTGACTTCGTGAAATACGTACAAGGTTTCCAGTATGGAAAAAATTACTTTTTGTGCAGATAAATTGCCATTTTGATGTGGACAATGGTGGTATTCATCATTGATATCACACTACAATTCCACAGTTTTCAAACATATGGAATGGTCGGAATGGTCCACTCAACACTTGCATGGACTGGAATGGAACAATATGGTATAGGTATGAAGATATAATTGAATTCATCAAGAAATATCACTGGCTTTTATGAAGGAGATGGGATTCTAGTGAAGGGGTTGAAAAACAAGATATGGTTGGAGAGGCTGCTCAGAATGAACAATATCATCGATTTACATAAACGAGGGTCTCCAGCAATTGAGGACTTGAAGTTATTCTCAAGATCGAATCATTGCAACCAACATTTATACAATGATTCTGATTGTGCTTCAGAAAATGTATATTATATTATTATAAGGTAGGTACTGGTTTCTTCATTGTAAACAATAAAAGTTCATGCAATAATTCGAGTTTTTTCATCAGGAAAAAATGAGGTTCTGGAATATGCACTTCAACAAATAAATTATTTTCAAATAAAACACATAATTATGAAACTCAAAACAATGGTCACCATATTTGTTGTCATTGTTGTTCATACTCGCAAGACTTGCAAAGTTAGCCACCAGAGGCGAGGCCGCACACTTCGTGATTTTCGCGAATTCTAGAATAATGCTTATAACGAATCTATTAGGAACGTCACAACTCCTTCAATGTGGCATATTAAAAAGTTTGTACGCCTATTCTTTGAGAGTTCCTTTTAAGGTGCTTGGAAGCATTCCATACACTGTCAGAATCTATCAAAAACAAAGATAGCTATTCATCATTTAAATTAGCCCTCATAGACCTACATGTAAATCACCGAAATGTCTAATAATGTTGAAATTTTTTGAAATGAAACTTTGATATATGTAACTGTTGTTTGTTGATATTTATTTGAAATTGATGTACTTGCAGAACATTTCATTATACTTTTAATATTTTTGTTAGGTGCCATCGCATTGTATAGTAAATGTTCCGTCACCAGCATGTTGCTGATTTGGAACAGAAGCACTTAAATTCATATTGATATCTTCATTTCTTGAATTTTTTTCAGATATAGATATTTGATAGTATGTGATGTATATGATATATGTATATGTGTACCTGAATAAAGTTTTTTGGGAAAAGAAATATATTAAATCAAATTGGGGAACTTTTACTTTCTGCTCAAAAAGCGTATGTCACTGGCATTACCTAAAACTTGATAAGAATAACTACAAAATATTATGCAACATTGCTATCATCGGCACACTTTACAAAAGTAAATGTAAATTATAAACCATTTTGCATAGTAATATTCAATTTATGTTATTATTTGTATTCCATTAGATTCGTCGAAAAATCCTCTTTTCAGAAAGTCTCTACTTGTCAAAATATGGAAATTGGAAAATAATATTGATAGAATACTAATTATTTTTGAGAACTTCACCACCCTGTATATCAAAAGTTAAGACGTTTAGGTCATACGTTCATATGACATTTTTTTTTTAAAATGGGCACAAGAGTCATTTCCTCAAATTTTGACATTCAATTAGGAAACACCCTGTATAACTTGGTAATAAAGAATTTCATTACCATGGGACCTTGTACCCCTCGGCTGCAGCGTCGAGATATAATCTTGAACCCTGGGTAATAATGCTATTCTTCAGTACCTTGGTGGATAACTAGTCGTTATTCATTATGGATATGTTCCGTTAATTAACCGAGGTTACCGATGCTTTCAGGGCCGGTACCAACAATTTTGACAGTGGCTATCTACTGGTGACTACGGTTGTGGTTTATTTACGGAATGCCCAGTCATTTGCCAAATTATAGTTCTGATCGTTTTTTTTAACATTCATGTAAGGTTTGTTAATCTGTGATTCATGCTCTGCCAGTATTTGATTTTCAATTATAGCACCCAAAAGTTCCTAATTCTTGTGCACAGTAAAGGCAAGCAAAGGATGTAGTGTCCAAATAGAAAAAAAAAACTCATCATACTGAAATTATATCGAGTATTATTAATTTACCTCAGCAAATTAATCAATCAGAACTTAACGCAATAATTAAAATGGGAATATCGTTTTTCATTGTAATTTGTAAATCGAAGAATCGAACAGAAAACTAAAACAAGTCAACGTCAACTGAAACTTATCAACCTTACCAGATAAAATCCACGGTCGTTCTGGTGACAGAGCATCTACCGCTTTTTCAGCAACCGGGTTCCGTAAATAACCTTCTTTCAGGAACCAACCGAACATTTCATATTTACGGACCACTACCAACCGAAATAACCAAGTTGATTTACGGAACATACCCTATACAAGGGAAAAAAGTAGTAGATTTCAGCTTCAGGTTGTGTGAGCCATAATCTAATACTTTTTCCGTGCATAATATACCATTTTTCCTGTGACAGGCACAAGAACGAATCAATAGTGTCAAAATATCAAATTCTATTGAAATCAGAACATTATCGACGGGAAATGTTGAAGTTTTCAACAGGTATGACACCGGCTTTACAGGCATCGTTTTGCACGCATCTACATCATTCTTTTGAAGTAATCAAGTATCTGTCAGTGGTGGTTCAAAGTAATTTGCTTAACCTGAAAATTTGATGCCTTGGATAATTAGTTGTGCATTATTGACCTAAAATATTCTCAACGCTGCGACGTTGACGCTTATATTGAAAAGTAGCAAAAACTTTGATTTTTCAAATGGGACACCCTGTATATTATTCCATTTTAAGATTCTCCCTGAATACCTGATTTCATTGACCTATGACACTTGGGGTCTAGCAGAGACAATTACAGAGATATAGGGTGTGAAAAATCGAGATTTTTTAACTTTGAGAATTTTTTGTGTTGAAACTATTCATAATTGGTCAAAACGGTTCCCATGTCCCTATCTCAACTTTCCATTTACTATCAATTGATATTCAATTGAAATAGGTACAGGGTGGTTCAGAATTAATATTTTGGACCACCCTGTATCTATTTCAATTAAATACCGATTGATAACACATAAAAAGTTGAGAAAGGGACATGGAAACCGTTTTGACTAATTATGAATAGTTGCGACACAAGAAATTATTGAAGTTGAAAAATCTCGATTTTTCACACCCTATATCTTTGTTATTATTCCCGCCTAGACCCCAAGTGTAATAGATCGATGAAATTAGCTCTTTAGGAAGAATCTGAAAATGGAATAATGCATAGGGTGTCCCATTCAAAAAATCGAAGATGTTGCTACTTTTCAATATAATCGGCAACGTCGCAGTGTTGAGAATTACGTTAGATGGATAGAACACAACTGATTATTCAATAAATCAAATTTTCAGTATAATCCTACGTTGCCGTTCTCCAGAAACGTCTAATGTGCCTTCCACCGTGAATCAGCCTGTAAATATATGTAATATACAGGGTGGCATTGAAATAAGTGCAAATAATTCAAACACATAAAAAGCTCGACGTGTACTATCGAATGGCACTAATAAAAAAAATGTAGGGATCAAAATAGAATGTGAGTTCAGACCCCTTCTTCCACCCAAAGTTCTACACTATAGCAAGTCTGACGTCACCTCTGTTCGAATTTTCATGTGGTAGGCACAATGGCGGGAGTCATTTGAATTGTTTTAAAGTGGCGTACTTGATTCTTTTCTCGTATTTTGTTCAGTTTTTGGAATGAAATTTCTCGTTAATTAGAAGGATTAGAAAAAAATCTGATATCATGAGAATATTCCTAATACTGTATTATATTAATGTGCTGAATATGTGCACTTATTTCAAAAACACCTTGTATATCTGGAAAAGAAGTGAGCTAAAATCTAATATTTTTCCCGTGTATAATACAATATTTTTTTCTGTGATAGAAGAAAGGGCGAATTAATATTGAGATTTGAATTCTGAAAATTATCGACGTGAAATTTGAAGTTTTCAACAGGAGAGACATCTGCGTTGTAGGCATCTCTATCATTCTTTTGAAGTAATCGAATATCTGATGTCACTTCTGTCAGTCTAATTCTGTGATTTGATTTTGAAAAATTGCGAATTTAGTGGTTGTTTAGTAATATATGTAACCGCGAAGTCGAATGGAAGGTAAAAGACTTGCAGTTCTTTCTCGGAGACGGTATCATTGACTTATTTTTCGGAACTATAGCACAACAAAAGCAATCAACAGTGTATATACATATATGTGATATATCCGGGGAAAAAATAATTTATGAAAAGTGACATTTTATAACCTGTCAACAGAGATGAAATGCCAAACTTTTTTTTCTCGTCACAGAAAAAAATTACATTTTATATCCTGTCAACAGAGATGAAATTTCAAACTTTTTTCCAAACTTTTTTCCCGTCACAGAAAAAATGACATTTTATATCCTGTCAACAGAGTTGAAATGTCAAACTTTTTTCCCGTCACAAAAAAATAACTTTTATGTTGCAAATGCTGCACGGTACTTACTTATTCCCGCTACACAGTTTGTTGAGGGCATCTCTGGAGATGACGTGTCCACACGTCAGTCTCATCGGCGGATTGAACTTGGTCGATTGCTGTCTCAGGATGGGACAGGCGAACACCGAATGGTACCTAGCTTCGGTGCCCAAGTCGATTTCTATCTGCAAACACAGATAATTCACGATATAAACGTAGTGATATTATTTCAATCTGAACTAACTGAAATGAACTATGCAACACTAATTTCGTCGCACCCCCAAATTTTGCCCCTGTTAAAAGATGAATAACTTTTTTCTGCTTTGAACAATTTGAATTCGGATATCACTGTGATCCTAACTCAACAATTACGTAAGCTACAGAGATGCTTCCATTAGAAGTGAGACACACTGTATAATGTTCATCTTGAGTCAATTCTGATCTTCATATCTCTCCATCTGAGGTTGCAGCTTCAAAATGAGCGTGAGATTTTAAAATCGGTTGACGAGGAAAAAAGTATGACTGCAAAGACAAAAAGTTATTGTTTTAAGATCACTTTGTAAATAAAAGAGATAAGACAATTCGAAAAATCTATACATAGGAGTGAGTCATAATGTTTTGTCGGTTACTCGACCGAAAAGATACATAATATAATAATGAAAATGATAGAAAGCCCTAATTTCGATTTCATTTCTTTCATTTGAAGTCAAGCAGAATGTGTGAGGTAAGTACATCAACATTCACTTCTTATAACAGCAGATTGGAATGAAACATAATTTTAGGCCCATTTTTGAACTGGAGATTTACGAAACAGACTATTGAAAAAAAAATCCAATATTATTATCATCAGATGACATGCAGAAGAAAATTATCATAGAGAAAGAGGAATTGATTGCAAAACTACATAATAAAATTGAAAATTTGAGAATGAAACTGAGGAAATCAAGTAAATTGCAACGTGATATGAATATGGCGTTTTCAATACCGACCAAATTAAAAATTCATCAGTAAAACGTGAATGCAGCAAAAGGAGGAAAAGCAAAACAATCTTCATGTTTTATTATCCATATGTGTCTATTTTGCCATATTAAAATGTTGTTACATGAATTCTTTTCATTTTTATAACTATTGTTCTGTGAAAAGTGAATCGCTATATAAATTGAAGTCGGTGTTTATACCCTATTTCTATTTTGCATCTACGACAATGATTGGTTCGAGAGAAAATCTTACATCTAAAAGCGTATCTGACAATCAGGCGCTACTAGGGAAATTGACAAGACAAAGAGCAGAATATATAAACATAGTACTTCATTCTCATATACTCAGTCTTATTACCTATATAATAAACGTTTGGGGATCTTGTTCAAGAAATTATTTCAGTAAAATATCTGCACTTTATAAGAAATCACTGAAAGTATTGTATCGCCTCTCATTTGATATCCCAACCAATGATCTGTATGCGATAACAGAAAAATCTTCATTGGATGAATTATATAAAATAGATTCTCTTAAAGTTTCATATAATATCATAAACAATAATCTAAAATCCAATTTTGTTTCGATAAGAAACTGAGAAATTCATGGTCTTCACATGAGACAATCAAACTTATTTCATCTTTTTTTTTATCACCTCCGCCATTTTTTTTTTTTATTCACCATAATGTATATTACATTTTATTTTTTTTTTTTTTTAGTTCACTATAGAATAAGAAATACAAGTTCAAACATATGTATAGCCTAATTTAAATAAGAATATACTTCCCGGTGATCCAATATAATTCCTAAACAGCAATTTGAAGCTTGCTGGTATCGGAATAATGATATTCTCATAACATGACATGTGTGGAAATATAAGTTGTGTGATCTCAATGCAATACATGTATACCAACAGATTACTACTGTATCAACATTAGAACTACATTTAACTGATTATTTTCATATTTACATCTACTAGTTAACAATAACAATATGTAGATGCTCCAGATAACGTATTACAATAATGTAGAATATTGAAATAAAGATAATAAGAATAAAAAGACTATTAGTAATATTTAACAATGGTGAACAACAACAGAGAAAGCAGTAATATGGGGATACCAAAGAGGCCTATATCTAAATTACAATATTATATTACATTTCCAAGTGCCGTTTCAGTTCTTTGTGAAATAAGTTAAAAGTGTCTATATTTTTTATTGTCATAGGTATTGCGTTGTACGACTCTATATGTAAAGTCCATTGATTTATACACCCAGTGCATGGAGATAGATGATATGATTTGATATTTTGAAGTTAGTTGTCAATAATTTATTTCTGAATTTGTCATTGATATTTTGCCAAAAATACATACATTTGCTAACGTGCCTTTTTGTGTGTGTATTTTACATTGGTCCTTCGTGCTATGGAAGACAAGCAACCTAATGAGCTGGAGCAGCGCAAGAGTGGTAGGATAAATAAAGGAATTCCACCTAGGAGATTTCTGGAATCAATAAGTTGCGATCCTAGGATTCCTTCTTTACAATCCTTACCTGAAAATGTTCCTACGAATGCTAGTCGTGCTTTCGTCGAATCCGACATTGTCAGTGTTGTTGGCCATCGAAAAGATGGTGCTATCCATGGAAGCTCTCATCAAAGGAAAAGTTCAATCGCTTCAAAAGAGTCCGTTGTTTCTCAACTAAACTTGGAGCTTGAGATGTTGAAGAAACAGAGAGAACTGGCTGAAGAAGAGAATCAAGAAAGAATGAGAGCTATCAACGAAAAACAAGATTTTCTAAGAAAAGAAATGGATCTTCAGAGACAATTGATTGAAGTGAAATCTTGTAATAACAGTCAGTCTGTAATTTCCCAGAGTTTATATGGCGACCCTCAGCATTTAAAAGAGTGGATAAACGATGCTAGAGAATGCATTGTCTCCGTATCTCCAAAATGTTCACAAGAACTAAGGCATGAACCAAGTTTAGCTGATATACAACGTGTTCCTTTGGAGGAAGAAAAGGAAACCGATAAAAATATTTTACTAAACATTGCAAAACAGTGTATCGATAATTCTGCGGTAACAAATAAGCTGTTGCTTCGACAAAAAATCAGAGACTTAACCTACTTCTCGGGCGAATTTACGGAGTGGCCAATCTTCATAAACGAATATCAGCGTACTACCGAGTCTTATAATCTTAGTGATGAAGAAAATTTGATAAGATTGGATCGGTCTCTGAGAGGAAAGGCGAGAGATACCGTACGAGCATTGTTGACATCACCAAGAAATGTTCCGAAGATCATTAGTATGTTGGAGATGAACTTCGGCAGATCCGAATGGATAATAATCTCTTTGATTGACAAAGTCAAGAGAATGCCTATCATCAGAGAGGATAGGTTGGAGTTTAGTATAAATTTCTCAAACGCCATCAACAATATGGTTACAACCATGAAGAATGTTGACGGTGAGTTGTATTTGTTCAATCCAGAACTATTGTACAGTATCGTGGATAAATTGCCGCCATTACAAAAATATAGCTGGGCCAAGTGGAAGAATAACCTCGAACTTCAGAGGAGACGTATTTCTCTCGAAGATTTTGCAGAATGGTTTGAGGGTGAGATAAATTGTATGGCAGCAATCAGCAATCCATTGCAGAATAAACACAAATTTCTTCCTCGCAAGGAAACTGTTATGGTTTCGAAAAAGAATAATAACAAAACCAGTCAAGAAATACAGTTGTGTGTTTTCTGTCAAAAAGAAAGTCACAAAGTCGTCGATTGTGAAGAATTTCTTAAAAAATCGATTGAAGAAAGAAGAGCTGCTGTCTTAGAGCATAAGATGTGTTTCATGTGCCTGAAAGTTGGTCATACTGCCAACAGATGTTACCATCAGAAATCAAGATGCGGTCAAAATGGATGTCGAGGTATGCACAACAAGTTCCTGCATATTGAAAAATCGATCGAATCCACTGAAAAATCCGAATCGACCAAAGATTTTTGTGCGAAAGTTTCGACAAAGACTGATAAAATGGTACTATTGAGAATTGCTCCTGTCATTTTGCGAGGTCCAGCAGGAAAAGTAACAATTCATGCTCTGTTTGATGAAGGGTCAACGTGTTCAATGATCGAAGAATCCTTGGCAGAAATGTTAGCTCTTTCAGGTCCAACAACTCCCTTATGCTTCCAATGGACAAATGGCGTCACTCATCATGAAGAAGAATCGAAGATGGTGTCTCTACGTATTTCAGCTGGAAATTTGAATGCACCGGTAGAATACAGGATGAATAATATTCGCACTGTTAAGGAGTTGAGTCTTCCTAGCCAGTGTTTTGATGAAAATGAAATGATGAAAAGATTTCCATATCTAGACTATAACGTTCTCAAATCAGTCAGCTCAACGCAGCCTCAACTTTTAATAGGACAAGACAACTGTGACCTAATTATACCCAGAGAAATTATCCAGGCCAGATTCAATCAACCTGTAATGTCCAAATCTAAATTAGGGTGGACAATTCATGGAGTTTGTGATAGCCCTGTAGAAATGGTGAATTTGCACGTAAGCCTATGCTGCCAAAATGTATTGGATCAAGAACTTCATAAAATTGTCAAAGATAGTTTTAGTTTGGAATCTTTCGGTGTGAACCATGGTCCAAATACTGGGATAAAATCCATAGAAGACAAAAAGGCGATTGGAATCTTGGAAAAAACTGTTAAAGAAGTTGGACATTTGTGGAAAAATGAAGAAGAGACACTTCCAGATAGTCGTAAGAATGCCATTAGCCGTTTATTGTGTATGGAAAGGAAAATGAGCAGAGACAAAGAATTTGAGAAAGAATATTGCGATAAGATCACAGATTATGTGATGAAGGGCTATGCTAGGAAATTAGGGAGCATAGAAGTCACTGAAAGTCCTAAAACGTGGTATCTTCCACATTTTGCTGTGTGGAACATCAATAAGCCTGGTAAAATAAGACTGGTTTTTGACGCTGCCGCCAAAAGTTTTGGTAACAGTCTTAATGATTTTTTGCTGCAAGGTCCAGACTTAGTGCCATCCTTGATATCAGTGTTATGGCGATTTAGACAAGCACGGGTAGCCTTTACCGGAGATATCAAGGAGATGTTCCACCAGGTGGTAATTAGAAAGGAAGATAGGTGTGCACAACGTTTTCTATGGCGAGGAACCGACCGAAGTCGTGCACCCGACGTTTATGAAATGAACGTTATGATTTTCGGAGCTGTTTCTTCACCTTCTGTGGCACAATTCATAAAAATCTGAATGGTGAAAAGTTTGAAGAACAATTTCCTGGAATTTGTCGAATTATGAAGAAGCAGCATTACGTGGACGACTATTTGGATTCATGTAATGACATAGATGAAGCAGTGGAGACGGTGAAAAATGTAATTTACGTCCATAAGCAAGCTGGTTTCGAAATGACCAAGTGGATCAGTAACTCCGATACTGTGATGAATTCTATACCTGAACATTTGCGAGCACCAGCCGATATTGCTATGAAAATAAATTATGAAAGTATTGAGAGAGTGTTAGGTTTATCATGGCTTCCATTGAAAGATTGTTTTGTATTTTCATTGAATTTGAAGAAAATCCCTGAAGAAATATCTACTGGTGCCAGGATCCCAACCAAACGAGAAGTATTGCGGATGATTATGTCAATTTTTGATCCACTTGGATTTCTGGTTCCTCTGATGGTGAAGGCACGTCTCGGTCTCCCCACCGCTTAGGTAACGATCGGGCGTGTTCGGTGAACACACGGGTATGATCTCGAGACTCTAGTGGTTGACAGATACTCACCGGCAACTCTTCTTTGCCGTTCCATATGCCGGTCACCTGCCGCTGCATCATCACTTGCTTGATATTCAGCAGGGCGGGTATGGCGGTGCAGCCGGCATTTATGCACGTGGCCAGCGGACTGTTGATGCACACGCCGAGCAGTTGGCACGACTCCCGGATGAAGATCTCGTAGATCTCGATCCACATCTCGGAGTCGAGCAGAGTGGTGTAGGGCGAAGGGCTGATGCCATTAGGGATGTACAGCAGCATGCCCATCAGGGTCTGGATGTCTGTGGACATTGCGCTTTTTACCTCAGAGTAACTAAACTGGTCAACATTGATAACGTCGTGGTCCAAAATATAGCCTGAATTCAAAGTAGAATAGCTCACGAATTTCCTTACCAATTTGAAATCGGTTTTCATCAATGATTAGTCTAATCTCTTGATAGTTTGTTGTGGCAATATGAAGCTTCTGTAATTTCAGATACTACAGGGTGATAATTGAATGGGTGTAAATATGCATCGTGGTCGTCACCTTACCGTTTGAACAGATATTTTTTTTATTTTTTTTTCTCACCTATATCTTCTTGATTGATGCTTCCTCTCGAAACTTTTTCGGAATTTTCGAACTCAGAGCTGTGATAATCGTGTTATGAAAATTCATTCAAAATGATGTATTTTTTTGACGATTAATTGAATGAAAGTGGAAGTTGGAATTCTTTTTCGAAGAATCAACCTTGTATGTATAGTCGTCGGATATGTGATTGTGTTCGAACACAGAAAATTCTGAAGAAGTATATACAAAGTAATACAAGAAATACTGAATGATCGAATGGAGAATAACGTAGTCTTCAGTAGATGAAACATAATTTTCTCTGTGTTACAAGTGAAATGGTTTTGTAATTTCTCGGATCGAAGGTCATATAATGAAGGTACCTACGCATTTTTAATCAAAATGATGCATTTTTGTTGATATCAATTATGAAATTAAAAAAAATACGATTGTAGTTCCAGAAGTATGAAATTTATATTTAATATCTGCTTTCATATTTCCTCGTGTGAACCTCATGAAAAGTTACTGTATTTATACATTTCACAATTTTCGACAATGACCGACACTATACAGTGTGTCCCACTCACCATGCTCACCATGGGTATCTTTCTAACGGTGAGAGATACGAGGTCAGTTAAATGACACCAAATGTGGAGTTCGTCAAGGCCAACTATAATGTGAAAAAATATGTTGATAAAATCTATTCGTTCTTGTTCTATACGCAAAAAACAAATTTTGATCATTTTCATGTCTCCTCCGTAACTTCTTTATTCATGAAAATATTCAAATAGGGATTTCACATTCTAATGGCAGTTTTTCGAAGTGATTTCGAAGAAAATATGAAATTTATACCAACTCTTCTAGAATTTGAGATATCAGCACCAACTTCAGTTTTTCAAACGTAGGTCATAGCTCACTATGACTTAGTTACAAGAAACTTTTTTTTCTCTTAAAGATGATATGTCGCAGTAATAGTTTTGTGTTGATAACAACGGAGTTATCGTCATTTATACAAAGACAAAAAATTATTTGGAAGCCGCCATCTTGAATTTATAAATTTCAACAATAAAATCATGATCTCCAACCTCAAAAACCCCCACTCACCAATTTTGAATGGAATCGGACCAAATCTTGTCCGCCATCTGGGAGCAGCCATTTTTTTAAATTTCAACAAGATGGCGGACAAGATTTGTTCCGATTCCATTCAAAATTGGTGAGTGGGGGTTTTTGAGGTCGGAGATCATAAATTCAAGATGGCGGCTTCCAAATAATTTTTTGTTTTTGTATAAATGACGATAACTCCGTTGTTATCAGCACAAAACTATTACTGCGACATATCATCTGTAAGAGAAAAAAAAGTTATTCGTAACTAAGTCATAGTGAGCTATGACCTACATTTGAAAAACTAAAGTTGGTGCTGATATCTCAAATTCTAGAAGAGTTGGTATAAATTTCATATTTTTCTCGAAATCACTTTGAAAAACTGCCGTGAAAATGTGAAATCCCTATTTGAATATGTTCATAAATAAAGAAGTTACGGAGGAGTTATGAAAATGATCAAAATCTGTTTTTTTGCGCATAAAACAAAAACGAATAGATTTTATCAAAATATTTTTTCACATTATAGTTGGCCTTGACAAACTCCACATTTGGTGTCATTTAACCGACCTCGTATCTCTCACCGTTAAAAAGATACCCATGGTGAGCATGGTAAGTGGGACACACTGTATTTCTTTTTCGGAACATAGCGATTTTCATCATATTTTTATGGCATCTTGTATATCCATCGTCAAGAATAAAATATAAATTTCATACTTCTGGAACTACAATCGTATTTTTTTTAATTTCATAATTGATATCAACAAAAATACATCATTTTTATTAAAAATGCGTACCTTCATTAAATGACCTTCGATCCGAGAAATTACAAAACCATTTTGAGGTTAGACACCAGACATCCTCATGACGAAGTAACACTCCATTATATCACTTGTAACACAGGGAAAATTATGAATTCAGGCTATATCGTGGACCACGACGTTATCAATGTTGACCAGTTTAGTTAATAGCTATTTATATATCAAGGGAGCAAAGGTATCCGTTTCTTCACGCGTGTGAAGTTTAATGCCCGACGCGTAGCGGAGAGCATTAAACACACATGGGAGAAAATGAACCTTTGCTCCCAAGATAACAGGGTGTTCCACTAAGGTCGACGAGGTACGATATTATGGAAACCATGAACCTTACAGCTTCGAGAACAAAAATCTATTAATGAAATGGGCGATAAGGAATTGATCAAAAATATTCGAATTATCTCAGAGAATCGCTGTAAAAGGTAATTTTTTGATAACGGAAATAAAAAGATCATCAAATTACTGTTGTTTTCGTCCCTAGACTTTTTTTTATTTTTAATAATAGTGATGGGGGAAGGTAGTGAACAAAATATTCTTGAAATTGCTATTTCTTCCATACCTCGTATCCAAATTCAATCAACTTGGGCCCGATTGAAAGATAATTTCACACTAATTAAGAACTGTCTTCGTTTACAGTCGCTAGTTTATACCGCATCTTATAGAGGGCGTCGGTTAGCGACTATTCCAAGGTTGGTAGAACTGATTATAATTTGAGTTGAGTTGAAGAACATCTCTGATGTGGTGGATCATATCCAAGGAACTTCATTGATAGAGCGATTCACCAAATTGAAAACAAACAAAATACACCACAACAAAAACAACCATCAATAACGACGAATATAATACCGTACATTCCCGGCATATCTGAAAAAATAAAACGTGTTGGTGATAAGTTCCAAGTGAAAACTGTGTTCAAAACTGAAAATACAATGAGATCCATTCTAACTCAAACAAAGCCAAAAAATGAAGAACAATCATCAAAAAATTGTATTTATAGTATACCTTGTGTTTGTGGAAAGTATTATACAGGTGAAACGGAGAGACCTCTCTCAGTAAGGACAAAAGAACACAAGTACAATATCAAGAAAAGACATATCGATAAATCGAAGCTAACTGAACATATCCTCACTGAAGATGGACAACATATGGCACAGTGGAATAATATCAAAATCATAGGATAGGAAGATAACAAACAAAAAAGAAAAATAAAGGAATCCGCTTGCATTCTTCTAAACGGAGACAATAGCATTGCTTCCTGTTCAGTTGATATTGATAGAACATGGTATTCACTACTGAAAACTGAACATGAAAATGGTAGATTCAAGATCAATTAATGAAAACATCCTGTAACTCATTTGTAGACTAAAATCACTCATTCATATGCCAACATCAGTATGACACTGAAAAGTGTCAAACTATACGCAGCACAACTTTCAAAGAAAAATAATTTGCATTTACATGTTGAGAACGGGAGCAGAATCGGTCCCGAAACGTCCAAAGATAAGTACAAATTCGATATTTTTTCAATATATCTATATTTTTTTCCTTCAAAAATTTTTTCAAACAAATTGTCACTGACAAGCTACTGGATTTTTCTTTTAGACTCCCTGATAGAAAAATTTGTTAAACGCAGTGACATTTTGGGGCAAATCATCTGATTTGTCCCTCTACAAATATATTGAAATAATAGGAATACTTTTATTTTATAGAAACGAGGAGAGAAAATCCCAAAGAACCAAGTAAAATGAATGTACCACCTCCTCGATTAACCTACAGACAGTATTTCTCGAAATATTCGAAAGAAATGATACATGTTTGCATTATTGATCTTGAAGACCATGAAAACAGCTCAATTTTGGCGCAAACCGCGATTCAATATCTTTATTTGTTTTTGAGTTATTTGCAAATAACTTATTTTGTATTGAAAAATCATGTTATATTTCAAACAAATTAACCCCGAAATTAACTATTAATTCACTTCCATCGTGATATCTGTGGAAATAGTTGTACTTCAACCTTCAATATTATATAACTGATGAAAACTTATTCAATTTCTGAATGATTATCTCATGATGAGTATTGGTTGTTCTCAGTTTGATTGTAATTCATATAGTATTTCTCTTTTAATATGATTATCTATTTTTTTTTGTAAACATGTATGTCATGCAACATCTATATCTCTGATTACTAGAGGAAATATTTAACTGATTAACAAAGTTATTTTTCCATTATTCAGATAATATTTGGTTAGGAATTGAATTTTGAAAGTATTTCTCTGTTTCATTTTGATTGGTTTTTACATTGAGTTAGATATTATGTTTTGTTACTTTCTGATAAGAAATTCTCTGTTTGCCAACTTACAATTGTTGATATATTTTGAATGATGATATATTTACGTATAGGTATTTAATTATGTACTTCCTTATAACAGAGCCTGTTCTGTTGGGATGTTATTTGTTCAATTTTGTTCAATTTCCAAATGAAAACATGCAAAAAACAGTAAAAACATTTTCACATTTGGTAGGCCATGATAAATAAGGAAACAAAATATCAGTCATCATGACTAAAAGTATCAATACCTGTTTCATACCCATGTATAACAAATTATATTATAATTATATTATTATTAAAAAAAAAAAATAATAAAAATGTTCAATTCAACAATTCGCGATAAAATATAAGCGTACGCCACCTATCGGAGTTCTTGAAAGCTGTCAAAGCGGATTGTTTACTTTGTTTTCATTGGTTGACATTTGTTTCTGTTTGTGCTTATTGTTCATATCAGTTCATATCATCAAAACAAACCGCTTAGAAATGTTCAAGTTGTTGCCGTCAGGTGGGGCGATGTGTTATTTTTTATGGCAAATAGTTATGTAATAAAAATATGTATGGATGAAGAGAATAATAGTGAGTTAATAGATAAAATGATTGTTAATACTGGTCACCACCGATCAATTTCGTGTAGTACATTAATCAAACTTGTTAATACAAAGTCAACAGAAAAATGGTATTCTCATGTGAAACAAATTCAAGTATTCTGTTTCCTGCGGTTATACAGGGTATTTTGGCTTGTTTCTGTCTAACTTCAATGGGGAAAAATCCAATAAACATTAGTCCAAAAACGCTTAGTCTCCGCTATACAGGGTGATTACTGATTGAGTTTCCAAAAATAATTGGGGTATCTTCAATATCTCAAAAATGCAAATCCCAATTTTTTTGAAACTTGGTAGAGTTGTTTGTGTTGCTGGAACACATCTTAGAGGGTAATTGAATCAGCATTGTATGGTTCAGTGGCGTCACGGGAGAGGTTGTATTTGATATCTCAATGAAAAGAAAGTGTGTTTTTTTTTATATAAACTCCAGAAATTTAAGAACACCAATTCCTACCTTATTTCTCTTGGCTCGCGATGTTCTCTGAACATTACAGGATATCCCTTTTTGTGGGAACCAGAACATAAAAAAATTCAAATTCTGCAATCAGAAATTAACTTTTGAGATCAAAAAAATCTATTTTTATTACACAGCACAATTTTCAAATCCATTTATGTAGAAAATGGTTAATGCTATCAAACTGAATAAGAGAACCATTTGTAGGTAAAAAATGTTGAGATTTCCATATTTCCTAGTCAAACTCCCGGAAATTGCATAAACAAAAGGGTTAGGAGAAAAACAGCCCCTAGCCCCAACTATTTCACATGCCCCTGATCATGATAATTTCAGAAAATTCTTGACATTTCCAAATTGAGCATAAAAAGTTAGATAGGTATAAGTAGAAAATTTGATTATTTTATTATAGAGGGTTTTGAAGATCTTCCTACAAAACCATCAACTTGGGCTGAACTTTATATGGCTATAAGCCCTCAGGACACCATTTGTGGGCTCATGTTTACATAAACTTTTTTTACTATTTTTGTTCCTAAAATCTGTTCTTGAGATCTTTCTAGTAGTGAGTAATTTCAATACACCTGTATAGAGTTCAAGAATTCCTCTCCTTATTTCATGTTATTTGATCCACTCCTTATATCATGTTATTTCAATCCATGTATTGTGTACACTCCTATGGTTAAAGTGAATTTTTGCTCCCATTGGTTGTTGAGAAATATGTTAAACTATTTATCCCTATTAATGGATCACGTTTTTGGAAGGTGCCCATGGAAATAAGTATTTATAATGATTGCATTAAATATTATTTTCCTACATGGAGGATTCGATTAAAATAGTTATCTGGCATAAATTGAACAAGTGTTCATATCCACATTCCCTAACCAAATAGCCAGCCAAATAGGTAGGTTGTTACTATACTTTCTTTTCAAACTGACACATCATCATTTGAGTAATTTTTACCCTTTTGAATAAATACTGTAAAGGAAAAAAAAGCAAGAATATTTTCTTGTCTCTATGATAAGTTATAATCAATCACTCTTATATCAATAATATTTATGGATTCATTTGCTGAAATTTTCTTTGCAACACTACCAATTTATAATACCGGGTGACCAGTTATATTCTGACCCATTTCAACTGCTCATATCTCCGAAACTATTCAAATTATCATTGTGCAGTTTGGACTTCTCTATGTTGATATTCTTCAAGTTTTTTGACTGGTTCACCTTCTCACCTGAACTTCCGGTTCTACCGGAAACAAACAAGCCATTATTCAGGTATAGGGCAACTTTGATAACATTGCATAATCTCATTAAACCATTCCACAAGCAGTAGTTGTTTCAAAGAGTTATAACTCTAATAGTTTTCTAGGAGAACATAACTTGTAATACATTGTTAGATGGAGAAAAGACCAGTCTTTCTGAATGTGCAAAAATATACAGGGTGATTCAATGAAATAAAAAAGTTGCCCTTCACCTGGATTATTGCTGGTTTGTTTCCGGTAGAACCGGAAGTTCAGGTGAGAAGGTGAACCAGTCAAAAAACTTGAAGAATATCAACATAGAGAAGTCCAAACCGCACAATGATAATTTGAATGGTTTCAGAGATATGAGCATTTGAAATGGGTCAGGATATAACTGGTCACCTGGTATCATGAAATGAAAGTCAAGGGGGGCACAACTTCCCAAAATTAGTACACCATATTCAAATATCTGGCATTTGAAGAGTACTTGAAATATTCAAATCTGGTACTTAAGGTACTAGAAATATAAATAATAAACAGGTACTTGAATTAATAATTTTAATACTGGAGTAGTTGGAAGCTTAATGAATTGTACTCAATGTATTGAAAATTATATGTGAAGAACTTAAAATTCTATGGTGAACACCTATTTGAAGAGTTGTTTCCCCCTCAATGGTTGTTATTCACCTTTTACCTTGGAAATTTTTTCAGTGCCATCTCAATCCACTTAGAGGGTGAACTCATCTATTTTTTTATTTTCAGAAAAATAATGTGAATTTGCTAACCAATCAAGCTGATCAAAAAAGTGAGGAATACACCCACTGACTAGCCTACTAATAACAACAAAAAGTTATAAGTAGATATTATGTGAAATATCTGAGGAAATATCTTAGGAACCATGGAAGTTAATTATTGGAATGTTGTGATTTTCATAATATCCTTCATTTGAGGAATGTGGAATGTTTAGTATCTGTAATATAGGAGACACATCATGAGAACATATTATGTTCAGGTGCAATACATAAATTTTCCTCCATTTCAGTTTTTTCCTAGCCAAACCAATATCAACACATCACTTTCATTGAATATAATCTTCACCTTTTTCATGCCTGTGCACATATTTCCTGAAATGAGTCCTAGCATAGGATATTGCTTCTGTCTGAAAAGCTGGTCCATTTTTGAGCAGCTCAATGAACCGCAGCCTATGCAACTTGAACTCTAATGTAGAATTCTGTCCTTCCAAACTTTCCCTGTGCACCACAGCCCAAGCCAGGGCAGGCTCCAGATCTTTCACTTTCAATCTGTCTAGGATGTGATTTATTTCATTCAGAGGTTCCTTTTCGTGGGACTCTGATACAATGTCACACTCTTTGGCTAGTTCTTCTGCAACATCATGCATTCCCTGTCTGCAAAAATGCTGGCAGATCACTTGGTTCATCAGCTGCAGTTTTTCTGCACTGTGGAAAGTGTCTTCGCGGCTAGTGGCTGAAAAATCTGCCACAAAATTCCGGTCGATCGCTTTTCCCACTTTAGAAACTGTGCTGTGGAGATCTCTGTGATCTGTGGCCATTTTTGAGACGGTTTCCTTGATCTTTCCCATCGTCTGTTTGAGAATATCCAGTTGGATATTTGTCAAGGCATGTTCACCATCGGCTACAACAAAGATCCACATTTTTCCTTTGTTTGAAAAGTAATAAAGGTAAAGAGCTGGTTTATTTACTTACTGCTTTCGTATTCCTCTTTCAATCTTTGTACCTGATCTATCAAGTCGGATAAAACTCTTTTGCCATGATCGTTTATTCCTCCAAATTTTGAAAGTACTTTGTCTATTTCTTTTTCAACTGCCAGGCAAGCTTCCATTTTCCTCTATTTTTGTTTTTTGTTTTTTCAATTTTTAACTGACAGTACTGACACTACTGACAGTGAAAAGTTGACAACTCGTGAGACAGACGTCAAAAGATATTCTTCTTCTCGTCTTCTCGAAATGAGAGGATTAACGAGTGCCTGCAGACAGTTCTCTGAGAGTCATCCAATATTCTGGCTTCTTACGCATGCATCGGACCGTGTTGCTAAATATAATGCGGTGATATCGATCAAGCTTTCGTACTTGTGTGTGGATTGTAGAATCTGAATATAAATAATTACAAGTATTGAATCCCTCGATTGATCTATATTATTTATTTTGATAAAGATTTTTTATTCGAAAATACAGGGTGATCTTTATTCGATCAATTATGGAATATTGATCTGACGACGGCTGCACGCGCCGCTTGTCTCCTCTCACTCTGAAGTGTTTCTGAAACAGCTATATAGTTCCATCCTTATTCAATTCTGGGGATAAGCACTAGATTTTTGACATTAGTTGTTTTTTAGGTTATATTGAGGTCACTGGCGTATCATACGTAATTTCCATATGGAATTCCTGATTCACCGATACTATGAACAATCCTCTAGTTTCAGATTTTACTACTCCAGCAAGCCAGCATAATCTTTGTGAGGTAGGGAACATATAGAGATTGTACTGAAACACTCACTCTCTGCCATGAATCAACCGAACCACTGTGACGGCACTGCACTGACACTGACCAGCTGACCGATCGACCGTGAGTGATCGTCTGCAGGAGGTCTGCAGAGAGCACCCAAGAAATAAAGCGAGTAATGAAAGAACGTATATTTTTTCATGTTCTGGTTCCCATGAAAAGGGATATATTATCTGTGTCGACGCAAAGACTGAATCTCTTCATCATACAACAATATTGGAGCGAAGAATCTATCAATTTTTATGTAGAAACGACATTTTTCTTCCTCAAGTTAGCCTGAATTATAATGGCCAAGTGAGCAACGGAAAATAAATGATGGAAATAATACTACCATTTGCTATTTTATTTTCTGTCGTCACCCTCATCACAGCAGCAATAGCAGCATCACTATAGCGGAAAAAAGTTGATGTAACGTCTAGCTCGTTGTGACGTAGAGAAATTATAGAAAGCGGTCGAGTAGTTGAGTTTTTAATACGTGAAAATGGGGAAAATGGCCCAGTACGCGCACCATCTACTTATCCAAAAAATATTACAACGGCCCCTACGATATGCTGACCTAAAGATAAATTAGATACGATTTTTCTGTTCATCTTGGAACGATTCGAAAAATGCACTCTGTGTTCCCTCCTCACTAATTGTGAGCTGAATACTTATTGTGAAACTTGTGTATGTACTTATATACAGGGTGAGTCAAAAATGTGTACCAAGCTTTCTGGGGGTGATAGAACATTGAAAAATATGTGTAGTTTGATGATTAAACTCATGGCCCAAAATGCATATTAAGGGAGATATATCCTTCCAAAGTTGATAAAATTAAAATAATTTCTCCGCATAACTTCTGAACGATGAAAGCCACCCGATTGAAATTTTGTGCATGAATTTATGTTGTCAAAATACATTTTTTCGTCACACTTCCACATTTCTGATATTGTTATAAAGTGTAATATTGGGTTGTAGTGATACACAATAGTATAGGTAATAAACGTGTATTCAAATAATCCAATATCGTGATTGACCTCCGTGTCAATCTGACATCACATAACATAATAATCTGACAACCTATTCAGTGAGTGTTCACAAGACTAAGACAAACATATAAACACGGCTAACTACAATACATAAAGGGTGTTTTCTACGAAGGCGCTGAAAGGCACCTGTACTTTTTTTTTTGAATCCCGACTTTAAAGTCGGGGGTCCGAGATTAAAGTCGGGGGCCGAGATTAAAGTCGGGGGTCCGAGAATGAAGTCGGGGGTCTGACTTTAAAGTCGGGGGTCCGAGATTAAAGTCGGGGGTCCGAGATTAAAGTCGGGGGTCCGACTTTAAAGCCGGGGGTCCGAGATTAAAGTCGGGGGTCCGACTACCTACAGATGTAATCATATATCATTGAACTCATCTTTCTGAGCTCTACCCAAGGACGGAATGACATTCAGGGTAGTTCATTTGTGGAAAACAATACAGGGAAAAAAGTTTTCTACAAAAAATCATGACTCACCCTCTGAAAACACCCTTTATAACAATATCAGAAATGTGGAAGTGTGACGAAAAAATGTATTTTGATAACATACATTCATGCACAAAATTTCAATCGGGTGGCTTTCATCGTTCAGAAGTTATGCGGAGAAATTATTTTAATTTTATCAACTTTGGAAGGATATATCTCCCTTAATATGCATTTTGGGCCATGAGTTTAATCATCAAACTACACATATTTTTCAATGTTCTATCACCCCCAGAAAGCTTGGTACACATTTTTGACTCACCCTGTATATGTGATAAATTTATATTTTTTTCATTGGGAATCGATAGGAAATATTGTATGCAAATATTTTGAATAGATAAAAGATAAACACCATAGTATATATTCCAATTTTATATTCAAATACAATAATGAAAAATAACATGAAAATTTGCCTAAATAAGATTGTTGTTGTTCTAAAATTGTTCTAAAATTGTTCTATCCGTCATTCGGATAGTTATAAGCATTTCAAACATGGAAGTAAACCTACTGATTTCTGCCATACATTTATAGTAATTTACGTAACAAGTCTGGAAAATATTGTTTTTTTGGACGAGTAGACAAAATTCTAGGCCGAGCCGTAGGCACGTCCAAGAAGTCTGCGAGTCTAAAAAAACTGTTTCTGGACGTGTTGCGTACACTGTTTCTCTGGCAACCATGTAGAATAACAAATCAATCCCAGACAGCACTGGATATTCATAGAATATTCTCTAAATATGCTAAAAAGGAGGAGTGTATTCCGAATATTCATCGATTATTCCTAGAATATATACATGCCTCTGGAACATCTGAAAGGAATATTCCAAAGTGAATAGTCGGACATGTTCAGGGAATATTCAGGTATGAATCTTCCAGGAATATTCCCAACTGAATATTCTCTGTTGTATATTCATGAAATATACCCAACTGAATATTCTGTGCGGTATATTCATGAAATATTCTCAACTGAATATTCTGTGGTGTATATTCATGAAATATTCCATGAATATTCCTATGTTTCTCAACACATAAATACCATTTATTATTTCAGAGATGTGAGTATCGAACATCAATTAGATGTAAGGGGATTTTGAAACAAAAAGTGTTTATGATCCGATTTCGAACAATGCTCTCACAAGAACTTGATATGTATAACATTATTCAATTCGGTTACTGGCCTAGTGGTCAAGGCGTTGCTCTGATAGTCTTGAGGTCACGAGTTCGATCCCTACTTGGGTCACTTTTTTTTATTTTAGAATATGTTTATTGGAATATTCCAGGAACATTCAACATAGAATATTCTTTTGGGTATATTCTATGGTTATCTGAGGAATTCCCATTCGCATATTTAGAGAATATTCTACAGATATTCCGGAATATTTCAGATTATTTCTAGAATATTCCAATATTCCAAAAGGAATATTATAGGGAGATTCATGGAGAATACAATTTCTTCTTAATTCATTCTCCTTTGTATCAAATACTAAAATTTGAACAGAATACCAACTAACAGTTACATTGGAAATTTCAAAGTCACTATCGCAGCTCTGCTGCTTCCCTAACAACACGGGATCTTGCTGGTACATCCTGCTAAGGTCCCAATGTTTCAAACTTAGGTACGATATCCCAGAGATGTTTCTCTTGGGACATCCATCAGATGTTTTCATTGGATGTTCCAGAAACATCCCATTTGATCTTTTTTTATAAACAATATCATGGTTCCATATCTGCTAATGATGATTGACATGATTGAACAGTTCAAACAATTGTGACATTTGAAACATTGAAGAGTTGATGAAAAATTGATATCGAAACTGTATTCGTACATATCTACTTATACCTATACCAAAGCCGGCTAATTTCATCGATAACAAATTGAAATAATTATACTAAATATTCCTCAATAAGATTACCAAAGTACCTGCTTAACTTCATGAACCATGTAATAAACGACAAAATCAAAATATATCTCTTCAGCATATTTATTGCTGAATTTATTTGTTATACCAGCCGATAGATGGCGGTACAACTACGTTGCTAAGAGTTACTAACAACCGTCGGCCCAGCGCCAACAAATATGAGCCTCAGACAACTGTTATCATCTTCCATCATTAGTTATTGGACCGCACCGACCTTATATTTTCGGATTCGGATTTTAACTTGATATCTGGAAATAGGACGGCTATTTTCAGGATTTCAGATTGAAAATAATTTATACCGTGTCATCCATTACTGTCATCAAATAAAAAACATCCTATATAAAAGTTTTTTTGAGATGTTCCATATCAAGTACCCTGAATGTCTCTGGTACATCCCGTATCATCCCACAAACATCCTGATGGGATGTTTATAAGATATCGCAAATGCTGACACGGGTGTTGCCAGCAACATCCCAAGAATGTCCCAAGGAAAATAGGGATTTTCCAGAGATGTTCCTGTCATCCCATATGGATGTTTCTACGACGTCTTACAGATGTTATTGTGTTATTAGGGTTTCGATAGTTTATTGCAATAATTTCATACAAACTTTCGAAAATCAAAATGTCAACTAATTTCATGTCGAATAGCTGTCAGCCGATATTTCGCTGCTATGGTAATTATCATCTGCATTTATGAAAACCATATCTATTTAGATTTTCATAGTTGCAGTGAAAACAACGATGTGATACTTCCTGGCCTAGTCCGGAAAGTACCTACGTACTTCCTAGACTAGGCCGGAAAAATGATACTTTCTCAAAGAAAAAGTGACCGGGAAGTGAGCACTTCCCGGACGGTTGCCGAGAAAAACAGTTTCTTGTTCAGATGTCGAATAGGTGTCGTGCATTATTGTTCACCAATGTTACCAAA